AATGTCTGCCAGTAAAGTGCCATTTGGAACGCGCAAACGACTTAAGAATAGCGACATAAGGAATTGTTTTATCTCTTTCACACATCGTAAAGACGCGATCGCACGCACTCACTCGCTACGGTCGAAACCTTCGCAGCTGACGACGGAATCGATTTCCTTATAACCTCTCTTTCTGTCAGAGTTTTTGTTGTCGTATAAGTTAACATTGTCCATAGTCGATCCGTCTTCGATAGCGCCCATCCGAACTTCCTTCACGTGATTACGTATAGTAATCTAGTTAAACAATATTTCTTATAAATTCATTTTTGTAAAACATTCATTTTTATAAACCGTCTCCAATTCTATTAAATATAACTGTACAGTCATTTTAGTAAATGGATAGAGTAACAATCTAAGAAAATTTCGGTCACATAACATATTATACATAAATTAAAACGCTGTCAAGTGAACGCGTTCGGTAATTGATATAGTGTAATGGAAACGGGCAATGATTCTGACGTATTAAAACAAGAGAGAGATAGTAATGCGTCAAGTCCACGTGCGCGAGCGAAATGAATATTGTTTCCTTGTGTAACGCGTTAACGGTGCAAGTGCATTCCATTGTCACGGTAATTGTATCTTTATCGGAATGCTGTAAAGTATAATTTGGATCGATGGCGGGAATACGGGCGTTGTTGTTAGACTTGGTTGGATAGATGGCGCTGGATTATCGTAATTATGATTATTATGTGTAATTATTCAATTTCGGCCGTATTATTGCAGTATGCAGTAGCTAATTTTTAACCGACTTTAAAAAAGAAGGAAGGTATGTTGACTTCGTTTTATATTATGGAGTGTATGCTGCACAGTCACTATATAGTATAAAACAAAGACAATTCCCGTCTGTCTGTCCCTATGTATGCTTAGATCTTTAAAACTACGCAACGGATTTTGAAGCGGTTTTTTTTAATAGATAGAAGATTTATATGTATAATACATGCATAATATTGTAGAGGAACACTCTGATAAATTTAGAGATTTCTAATGTAATGGCGTAAAGTAATGTGGAAGGGGAGGGGGGGGGGGGGGAAGGGGGCGACGCTATTTAGTATCAGCACTGCACCCGTGCGTAACTGGGGATTTATTCTTTAACTAATTTTTGCATCTAAAAACCTAAAGTAACCTTCTTAATGAAGTTTGAAACGAATTGGTTTAATAATATTTATAAATAATTTATTCGAGATTTTTTTTAAGAAAAATAATTATAAATAGATTAACAAAATACTAAAGAAGTATTTAGTTTATATCTATCCAATGAGTAATTTATTCTAATAGTGGAAACAGGTTGAGGATGAAAATGGAATTACGTCCAGTCCGTCATTCGTCGCTACGAGTATTTTTGAAGATTACGGTAGACAAACTTAATGCGTCAAGTGTCGTAGCGGCCACATTAACTTCTTAATCAACTACTAGCTATATCCCGCGGCTTTTCACGCACGATTCGGTATATAAAATATCCTATGTGCTAATTTAGGATATAACCTATCCGTGTACCAAATTTCATTCAAATCCGTTTAGTAGTTTTTGCGTGAAAGACTAACAAACATCTATCTATTCATACAAACTTTTGCATTTTTTACCTAATAGGATATTATAGGGGGAAGGGATTGTTAGTAATGCGGGCTACCAGTCCCATTGCTAGCAATATACCCTGCCGAGTAGACCTCTACGCGGTCCTTTTCATCCTCACCTATCATCCCTCACTGGTTAATTATATAAATAATGAATTTGTGTGAACACAAACTACTAACAAACTACACCTACCATGTTTCTTGTAAATAAATAAACAAATAAGTAGTATTAGATTATAAAATTTTATATATATATATATTATATAAAATTATATATGATTGAAATAAATCAAAATACATACTTACAACTACAGCACTTTACAGTACAATATAAATACAGTACTTTATAGAATAGTCTATTAGTTTTTTTTTTTCTAAAAAAATTGGTCTTGGGACGTTAAGAAATGATTTTTTTTATACAACTTAGAATGGCAAACAAGCTGACGGCCCACCTGATGGAAAGTGGTAACCGTCGCCTATAGACATGAGCAGTACCATGGACATAACAGAGTATACTGTTTCGCCCATGATACCCCCCATGCGTTGCCATTCCTGAGGACTCAGGTGTTATTCCTCTGTACCCTGTAAATTCATGCCATATCCCATCCTTCAAACCGAAACACAGCCATGCAAACACAACTGCTTCACGGTTTAAACACGAATGGAATGAAAAATACAACCGAATTGAAAACTTCTTTTTTTAAGGTCGGTTGAAAATAGCGACAAATACACTTATTATGTATATTTGACTGAGTGTGGGCGAAAAATTGTATTCAAAAATAAATATCCAATTGGGTTGTACATATAATCTTAGTAAGTAATTAATTATTATTATTACTCATGTCCGAGAGTCGCCCTCTGGTGATTTCGTGCATAACGAAAGCGGACTAGAAACTACACTTTCTATTTAGTACCTAAGGAAGCACCAAGCAAGAGACAGTAATTTTTACTCGACTAATAAGGTAGCATTCCTATGTTATATTCTAGTGCCGGTACTGACTATATAAATTTTTACAATTTCCACTTGCGAGTAAAGAGTATTCGATTTCACGACCTTGCAACATCGAAATGACACCGAGATCGTACACAAGATAACGATGAGCGATGGGCTGTCATTCAACGCTGCGCGCGCACTCGATACTCGAGACCGGAGCCCGTACTCGATACAATCGCACATCACTCGATGCCCGCACATCACTATTTCGGAAACCATAGAGTCCAAAATGGCGTTTGACAGATGTCAAACGCGAAGATGGCGCGCATTTCGTCAGCTCATTATAGTGTATCGATTTATTTGTCATCGGTTCACATCTAAAAATATCTTTAGTTAATTTTAAATGTTTCTCGGTAAACATAAAGCATAGAATAAAAAAATGTTGGAATTGTAATCTAAGCTAAGCACCCAAGATATTCTGGTAGGCAAATGATTGTAACTAAAATTTCTTTTTTTTAATATAGCATTTGTATTAGACAATTTAATTTTATATTCACTTTTATTTCTTTATACATAATAAATAATTTACAAGTACTTAGTACCTATTGAGTATAAATGTAAGTAAGTCAGGTAAATAAAGATACTGTTAAAATTTGTTCAGTTATATAAATAAGTGTAATAAAATAAATGCAACAGTTAAACTTTTTTTTTATTGTTAACTGTCATTTACTACAGTTAACAATAAAACAATTTTGATTTGTATTGATAATAATAATAATAATAATAAACACTTTATTGCGCACAGTAGAGATGTATACAAGGAGTATTTATACAGAATGTGCATATACACAAGGCGGCCTTATCGTTAAAAACAATCTCTTACAGACAACCTGGATTGATTGATTGGTTTCTATTCTACCAACTTCAAAAAGAAAGAGGTTGTCAATTCGGTTGATGGTAATGCAGATATTTCCTCGTTGTATATAAATTGTAAAAATTGTAAATTGTACCTTATGTAACTGTATCTTTCTTAAATAAATATTATTATTATACAATTATTGCATCTTCGTTTTCAAACGATCATTATATATATATATATATATATATATATATATATATATATATATATATATATATATATATATATATATATATATATATATATATTTTTTTTAATTTTTTTTTTGTATTTTTATGTTTGTTACCTCATAACTCAATTATTTATAACATATTTTGGAAAATTATTTTTTTAATTGAAAGGATATACCTACAGTTTAGACCCATAGACAGTTTATTAAAATCAATTTAGTAGTTTAGTTTTTAAAAAAACAAAACTGCTCGGTTTGTTGTAATTGAAGTCGATTTTTTATTAACTTTCAATCTTTTTTGAGCAAACAAAAAATTTGTATAAAAAAAATATTAGATAAAGTATACTTATCTAGTGTATTATGTAGTGTACACTATTTTTGCAGGCTTTATCTATAAATACGCGTTCCTATTGACCTTGCGAGCATTTCCAACGTGTTCACCTCGCAGAGGCCGCGCCGTGATGGATGGCACAGTGCCACGGTGATGTTGTTACCGTTACAAGTTCAACATTATAACTTTTTGTCTTTACTTAGAACTTGATATGAAACTTTCATGTTTACTTAGAATTGTATGAGAGTCAATACATAGTAAAGGTAGAAAGTGTCCTATATGTAAAAGAACAAGATTATCACCAAATCTCGTTTCATCAAAATCTATCCAGCAGTTTTAATCGTAATGTAATTTATTGTGTATCGAAAATTTATTAAAACTCCTCTCCATCCAAAGGTTGCCTGGAAGAGATCGCTCTTAGCGATAAAGTCGCCCATTGTTTTCTCATTGTAATTATTTCTTGTAATTATTTATATTTATAATAAGTTTACTATTGTAATCTTTTGGAAGAAACAATAAAGAGTCTAATAGAATCTATCTATCTATTATTTATTTATTTAAACTGTATCGACTAATAAAATGTGGTACAAATGACGGACTTAATGATATAGGCATTTTGTACCAGTCAACCGTTAGAATATGCAATAATTATGAAAAATGATTTTGAAATGGATATGGAGAAATTGGTTGTGCAAAAATGCAGTCTTCCAGTTCTGGCAACTAAAAAAATAATCACAATTCATAGACACTTAAGACCTTCATAGACGATGGACATTTGTTCGTGGACGAAATTATCCTTTACATAGGAAAGCATGCTTACCTAGGTAATAACAAAACAAGTGTGCATTGCAGCGTGGAAATTTACTAAGAATTATACTATAACTCGCCGATCTTAAAAGCGTGTAGAGACGAGGAAGAGAAATTTTGTCCGCGAATGAATTTGTCCATCGCATGCGCAGGCCATAAATAGAAATAATTTAAAAATGGAACACATAGTGATGTGAGCACGAGCGCGTGAACCCGCCGGCAATATTTACCTGGGTACTCACCGGGGCTACCCAGGAACACTGAGGAGTACACCCGCCGCGCGACGTCCGGCGGCGACGACCACTCGCGCCGCGACGGGCACCATTTGCCTGTAAAGAACATTTCAAATTTAGAATCTTCAAACATACAATCCTTACTAATATTATAAATGTGAAATTTTGTTTTTTTGTATATTACTTTATAATCTTAAAGGCTCATTGCAATATACTTTATCAAGTCAACTTCTAGGTTCCCCCTGGACACCATCTTGGTTATTTTTTTTTAATTCGACATGTTGGCCCATTTAGCCTTGCTTTCGTCTTACCTTCGCAGGCTGGGTTACCATTTCATTTTCACCCATTTAAACGCAACATTTTTACTTTTAAAAATGGCTGTTTAATTTTTTCATATTATATCTATAGTTCTATACTAATATTAATTACTAATTCATACTAATATAATGAAGAGAAAAAAAAAATATGATTTATTTATTTCTTTGTAATGGATAATCTCAAATACTATTCAATCAATTAAATTTTTTTTTTACCTATAAAAAAAGCTACATTGTCAGCGAGTACCATAGACTATATATTATTTTTGAAAATTCTATCTACCCGAGCGAAGCCGGGTCGGATCTCTAGTGCTATTTAAAATTGTAATATAAAATTTATTTAAGTGTGTTTTGAGCCGTTCTCTAGTGAGAGCTACAATAATCGCGACCCTCCTTTATCGTATAGAGAGATAAAACGCCATTACAATTCGTACTAATGTTCTAGGGCGACACATGCGTGCGACAACGTTCCTTCAACCGATTTCGATTCCAAAGAAGAAAAAAATGCTGCATTAAGCTCTTCCCGCCCATCTAATGGATTCGTCCAACTCTCCCAGGACCTCGGCGTCATTACGCAAAAACACAAAAAGAAGAAAAAATACCGGAGTAAAAAAATACCTCTTGGGAGAACGAAGGTGTTGCCACCCCTAGTCTTTTCTTACCCTAAAAATAAGGGGAGGCAATATCATACACCATTAGCAATTTCGCTACTTTTTTAACGGTGTCAAATAGTATAATATTAAGTATTTGGCCGATAATAGAGTGTAGAGAAAGCTGTAGACATTTTTTGCACTGGCAACATTATATTAATGATTAGTCACCTTGATTGTAATTTACAACCAAGCCAATGAAAATAAAGCGTATAAAGTACCGATAATAATTTAATGCATAAAAAGAGCAATGCTCTTTTTAATTCTCTAATTGTTGGTACGTACCGTACTGTGGTGCAGTGTGTTTGTTGCATGCAGCGGGCAACTCCACGGGGGGCAAATTTCGAATTCAAATTTTTAAAAGAACCCAACCACCATAATTTTCTCTCGCGTTATGTTCCTTTTTCGAAATTCGTAATTCGAACAAAAGCGCGCGCAGCGCAATGGTGCATGCATGATTGATAGTGGAGCAATGACGTCGCGCGGCGCGAGTCGGAATGAACATTCGATTTTTGAAAATAAAAGCCCTTGACCTCTGTTGTACGTTAAAAACATTTGCCTCGTCTTAAGCACTATCCCGGTGTGATCTCGCCGCGTTACTGCCAATTTGCGTGATTTTTTCACCCCCAAAGTACAGAACTAACTCGGAGGCATAAAGTAAAATTACCTCGTTGGAAAAAAGCGAAAACGACCCCATCGCCGAGTCAAGGTACAAGTTAACGCCATAAACAAATACTAAAAATCTTGTAACCGAAATAAGGCGGCACTCTAAATAAGAATTAAAGTAAAATTGCTGAGGTGTGACTCCCCCGGCGCGCGGCGCGAGGGGATATTAAGGCGCACCTCGCGACGATATTCATAACGCGAAAAATTGTAATAACCTGGCGAATTTCAGAATAGGGCGAGCCGAGGTGGCAATGCTATATTATTTATATGAGGGCGAGCCCCTTGCCGGGGGATTTGTTAAGGAAATTGTCTAAATATGCCCGTTATATTCGAGTCGCTCGTGTGTGACACTCACAAAGGACGTATTACACGTTCTGTAGTTTTTATTAACATTCACAATGAAAATAATAAAATGCTACAATATATTTATTAAGGCAACAAACTAGTTGTATTGTTTGTAACGGTTATTTTTTTGTTTTAAATAAAGAAAACTATCCATTCTTTGCGGTGATTGTTGGCAATGTTACTTTAATATTCTAGTCTAGCAACACTATTAGCGCATTCTGTATCCTCGGCACAATAACTGAAGACATTTCTCTGAGTAGTGTTCCTTTCATTAGCTATCATTAATTTTATGTGACGAATAGATATTTTCTCTTTCTAATAAACAGTAAATAAACAAAGTTATATTTTTTTTTAATTAAGCACATAGAAGAAAGCAAATGTCGTTAGAGTATACAGCCAAAATTTAAAAATTAGATGTTCTCTATCTATTTTAACTATAATAATATGTTAATGTTATGTATATACACCCACCCGTTCATGTTCTTTTTTTCAAGGGACGCGCCATCTGTTGTTTGTTGGTTAGAATATAAACATTTTTAAAAATACCAACAGTATCTATACGTATATTTCAGAGCAACACTTCTAGCCAACATTCACAGCTGTGTAACCAATTATTAAACAGCAATTAGAACGAACAAAAACATAGAAAACAATGCCAAAGTTCTGTTTTGGAAGATACCAATTACACATTCATAATTCTTTTTCTCTTTTCCGAATTAAAACAATCGCTGCGTCCGGGGGGAACTGTTTTGATTTCTATCATTCGTGTAAAGGAACGGCGGATTTTTATAATAATAGTGATTGCGTGAATCGGAAATTAGATCTTTGTGGGGCATAATTTAAAGAAACCAACAATTATTTTTACTCGATAATCACTATTAATTATCGTTGTAAAGATGGCCCGTTCCATTGTAGACGGCCGAGTTGGAGCTTCGTATCGTGTACGCGACGCACCGGTTTTTTTTTAACTCATCGTTGAATTCACCTGGCTTCCCGCGTTTTTTGCTCTTAATTGTTTCCATTATTTATAATTTATTATTAATTTATAAATAGACGACCAGAAAAAATAAATGATATTTACAACACAACTAGTTCTAGTTATTTTTTTTAAATATATTTTTGCTTTTTATATATTAAGCGTATATAAATGAACGTTATTTGAGTGCTGAATCCTCAGGAATGGCAACGCATGGAGAGTTTTATGGACGAAATAGTATGCTCTGTTATGTCCATGGTACTGCTCATATCTATAGGCAAGGGTACCACTTTCCATCAGGTGGGCCGTCAGCTTGTTTGCCATTCTAAGTTGAATAAAAAAATATATAATATATGTAAGTGATCGAAATTACTCCTGTCTATTACTATTAAAAAGAATAACTTGTTATTCCTATATTAAGAGTCGCATTAGCTATTGTAAATAGGTAGTTAATGTGTAAAACTTCGCAACTGGAAAGTGGAAGTCTTGGACTATATATAAAACTTATTTCATAGTGTAAATTAATTAAAATTACAACATAGCAACAGAAATAAGTTTCAATAGTCTGTTATGTATGAAGTGTGAAACTAGAGTCGTGTTAATTTCCTTTATATTCAACTAACGTGAATTTACTGGGTACAGAGGAATAACACTCGAGTCCTCAGGAATGGCAACGCATGGGGGGTATCATGGACAAAACAGTATACCTACTCTATTATGTCTATGGTACTGCTCATGTCTATAGGTGACGGTTACCACTTTCCATCAGGTGGGCCGCCATATCCCACCCTTCAAACCGAAACACAGCCGTGCAAACACAACTGCTTCACGGTAGTAACACGAATGGGACAGAGGTAGCCAAGCAATCGACTTTTGTACAAAGTCTCCCTCTGGAATACATTGAACAAATTAGTATAAATTGGTAATGTTATATTAATCATACAAAATTTAATTGAATTGTTATATTTAAGACTTTTTTTTTATTTTCTCACGCTATAATACACTTATTAACTGTGTTACATAAAATGGTTTAATACATGAGTATGTATAGGAAACTTCTTGTAGATTACGAAATTAGAAGTTTACGTACATAATCTTGAAAACATTGATAGAAATAATGTATTGAAACTGGTTTCATACTACTAGTTATGTTATATATAGGGACAGAAATTTTTAAAACAGTTCGTAAGAATGTGAAGTAAAACAAGATATCGTTTGATTAACTAAAATCTAAAAATATTAAATTTAGTCCTTGATTTAGCTAAAATCTTTAAAAATATCTTTTGTGCTGTCTCTTTGTAACAATTAGGAGGCAAAAAAGAAATGTAACGGCAACAAATAAATAATCCCCACCAGAGCGGCAGCACCTGCCCGGAGATACCTGTACATGCACCCGAATAAAGGCCGAAGATGTCGCTCTTCTCACGATAAATCACTCGAGTTTTTCTCCTCGGAGACTCCCCGTGTTTTATGTGAGCCTGGTACTCCACGACTGTCGGCCCTTTTTCTTTTCCTTTTTTTGTTGGTGCATCTTTTTAGTTTCTCGAAATATTCGCTATTGTTTATATATGTTGAAGAAAATGTATCTTTAAAGCTAGATCCATGGGATTCATGGTGTTTTATAAGTGTTTATCCGATACAATAAACGTCTTACTGGTGAAATTTTTGTCTTATGTGCTATGGAGGAAAAGGATTGTTAGTAATATATCCTATTAGGTGACTTCCATGCAGTTCCCCGTGGAAATCATCGTGGTTAATTCTTGTCAAATTCGTCACAATTTGATCTGACTTTCTCCTCACTTATCATTTCTCACTGGTGCCCCGTCAGCATATACCGATACCGCAAGCGATACTCCTATTAAAAAAAAAAAACAATCTTGTACACATATTTTTTAACATTTCTTGTAGCCATCGATAAAAAATCCTGCTTTCAGCAATAATAAAGTGCGAAAAAAATAGACACTTTTTAAATACAAATAAATACAAATACAAAGACTTTACTGTGGATCATAGGTTAAATTAAGGTATTACATGAGTTAAATAGTATCTCCATGTCCTGCTATATAAGCGTACAATATATGGAACAGTTAACAGTATTAAAAAGGTATAATAAAAAAAGCTTCTAATACTTTATCTTTGGTT